GGGGCGTCCTCCTCCACCCCCTATGTCTAGTGTTTGGAATACGGACCAAACCCCAGGGCTTGCTTTGTTATAAAAAACCTCTGTGTGCTTGCATCAGATATTGGGGCTGTGGTGGTCTTGCTTGGGGGTCTTGTGATGTGGGCACAACAAGAGAACCTGTCTTAAGGCAATACAGAGAGGAGCAGAGCAGTAGAGGAAGACACTGGATATGCACACACGTGGGTATACACACCTTTACACTGTGTGTGCATGCAACACACACACACACACCATTCACAAAACTATAAAATAATAGAACTCTGCCAAACAAAACTACAATACTTTCAGGAAGATATTATCAAGTCCCACTAAAGACTAGTTTTTGCCTGGTGTATTCATTCAGTAAGATGTTAGCAAACTCCCCCAGACACTAGAATAAATACAAAGATGAAAATGTCCATAGGCAGTTAAAATCATTTTGAAAAAATAAAAAGGGCATGGTCTCCGTGGTATTTCAAATTCATAAATTATTTTAGAAGTGTGGTTTATTATAGAAACAGAGTAGAGGCCGGGCGTGGTGGCGCACGCCTTTAATCCCAGCACTCGGGAGGCAGAGGCAGGCGGATCTTTGTGAGTTCGAGGCCAGCCTGGGCTACCAAGTGAGCTCCAGGAAAGGCGCACAGCTACACAGAGAAACCCTGTCTCGAAAAAACCAAAAAAAAAAAAAAAAAAAGAAACAGAGTAGAACAGACAGAGCTCAGAAAGAGCCCCACAGAAAATTGATGTTTAATAACGGTGGTAGAAGGAATTCTCGACCAAAAAAGACTGAAATATTAAAAAGACTGGAGAAAACATGACCCATCTAGGTTGCTCCCTAATATTCATAATATAATATATTTGCATACCTCAGATATAAAAATAAGTCCTACCCCCTATAATTGACTAGAAGTCCATATAAAATAACATTGAAATAACAAAACTAGCTCAAGGAATATCTGCCCTTGCAGAAGACCTGGATTTGACTCCTAACACCCATGTGGCAGCTCACAAACATCTGTAATTCCAGCTCCAGGGGTCTGTCACTCTTCTCTGGCCTTTGTGGGAACCAGGCACACACACTTGGTGAATAGACATACATACAAGCAAAACACCCATACTCTGAAAAAAAAAAAAAAACTTTTTAAAAATCCAGACACTTAAGGCCCATCCCAATTCTACTTAAATTAGAATTAAGACTTAACTCTAACTCAAATTAGAATCCTCATTTTAACAAGATCCATCTATGCACCCTAGGCTGGTCCCTCACTAAAACTTCCAGAAAACTCTTTAAATTCAAATAGACAGTAGCTTAGTAGGCAAAATGTAGTGCCTGCCTCTACTCGGAACACCCTCATCCCAGCCTGTCCAATAATCTAGAGACATAATTTCAACCCCTGTGATAAAATAGCTACACCCTGAACTCACCTGATCAAAAGTTTTCATTATCTCACCCCACTCCAAGCACAAGCATGGATCCTGGACACACCTACAAGTCAGGGCTTCTGTGTTTATTCGCTGGAGAGATCTCAGACCTTTATCATTCTAATGAGTGTGGTGTGTTCTGGTTCCCTGCCCATAAAAGATCGGAAGCTGCAAATCTAAAGTGGAACAAAGGGAACGGAGTAAACTATGCAGCTAGATGCTGTCTACAATGAGGTGTGACTGTGGAAAGAATAGCTTTGACATTTTCATGGTTATTTAGTTTTATAAAGCTGTTCACACCTCAGATCTGTGGCTCAGATCCTAGAGGAGTGCTCATCTCTGTTGAATCTCCTCAAGTGTCCTTTAAACAAACAGAAAGACAAACAGACTGACTGACAGATTCTACTCAATCCTCAGTCTCCCTGATTCCCATCCGCTAGGTCTAGTTTAGTGGTTCTCAACCTGTGGGTGATGACGGCTTTGGGTCAATTCCTAACAGTGAAAATACATCCTGCGTATCAGATATTTACATGATAATTCATAATAGTAGCGAAAGTAGTTACAAAGTAGCAAAGAAAATAATTTAATGGTTGGGGGTCACCGCAACATGAGGCACTGTATTCAAGAGTCGCAGTGTTGGGCAGGTTGAGAACCACTGGGCTAAGGTGAGTTCCAGGCTCTTGTACGTGATTCTTAGTGGTTTAGGGCAGGTCAGTGCACGGCCCAGAGGCCCGGACACCTGAGTGGCTTCTACTTAGGCCCTTTACAGCCTGAGGTATCACTGGCGATGGTTGGTTATAGAGTGGCCTTGATTACCAGGATTTTCTAAGAAGAAACACCTTATGTATAAGTGAGTTTGGCCCCAAACAAGAAAACTCAATGTCACAGGTACCTGTGCCTAACTCCTGGGTCACAGGGACATGCAAAGAGCTTGGGGCTACGGGCAGACACTTGCCATCTCCCACTTCTGAAACAACCCCAGAACCCCACCCCGTCCCAGACCCCCATTGAATCACCAGGGGTCCTTGTTCCAATGCAGTCTGACTCCAGAGCCCTGGGTGGGCTCCCAATCTACATTCTAGACAAGCTCCAGGTGATGCGGCTATGGTTAGCCCTAAGGACCACACTTGCAGTCGGGAGACTCTAGAACAGGTCCTCCTTTTGGCCACTACTCACGCTCGGGATCCAGGCAAGGAGGATGGCTTGAGTAGGCAGAAACTCCCAGCTCAAAACTACAGGGTTTCCTGAGCCGACGTCAGGGGTTTCCCCCGCATGAAGCAGCCTTATTGGAGGATGAGAGACTGCAGATTGAAGCGCAGACAACACAGCTTGCTCTACTCATCCATTACAGAAACGGAGCAGGGAGGCCAAGCTGGCAAGGGACTGACCAAGTTCATACGTGGTAGCCATCAAGCGGAAATGAGACCTGAGGCAGGACGCAAAGGCATCATCTATCATCCGTTCTGGGGCCTTTCAGGATCGCTGCTTTGAAAAACAGAGGCGCTTATCCTGTAGGAACTACAGACTAAGAGAAAAAAAGACTCAAAGGGGAATAGGAAAATCTAAAGCTCTGCCTGACAGGCCACGAGCACCGAGACAGAGAAGATACCAGGCCTGGAGGCTTCCGGTGCTCGAGTCCACACAATAGCCACTGTTTCGCCCCCCTGGGTTGTGGAATTTACATGAAAAAAGAATCAAAGCCGCCGCTTGCCCCAATCCCATCCCTGTTTCATTTTTCTTGTTCTGGAATCCTTCTGAAACACCAAGCAAGAACGGAGTCTACCCTTGCTCAATATTAGAAAGCCCTTATGCAAACTCACAGAGATATTTCCAGAATGAGGAGGAAGGGAAGCGTATGCCTAGAACGCTCACCTCACAAATGGATACTGTCTTCCAACACCTCAGAGGAAAGCAGAGATAAAAGCATCAAATTCAGTAACATTCTGGCTCCTGGGGCCATGCATGTGCCTGGAACCCGCCACCCTGGCTCCTGGGGACTCCACCCCCTTGTCACACAAAAGCTGGGCCAGCAGCTCTGTTTAAGCTGGACTTGTGGGCCCCTGAGGAGGCTGAGAGGGTGAAGGTGTTTGCCACCAAGCCTGACAACCCGAATTCAATCCCAGGGACCTACAAGGTGGAAGGGGACAACTGACTCCACAGTGTCCTTCTCTGATCCCCACATGGCCTACATGGCACGTGCCCTCCAAACACAACAATCATGAATTAAAAATAATACACTGGGCTCATTCCCGCCCTCACCCATAACTTCCCCACCAAGCTTATTCCAAAAATCTTCACCTTCCTATGTAGCTATCTGGGTCTGGAGCCGGCTACAGGGAAATCAGCCTGAAACCCACCAGTCTGAAAGGAAACACTAACACCTCTAAGGGCTGCTCCGGTTTGCTGGGCCCAAGTCTTTTCTTTTCCTGGGTAATCTGAATGCACCTGGCTGACCTCGGGCCATCTTGGCATGGCTGGGGAATTTGACCAGGTGTCCACACTTGATCACTCATTGACCTTCCAAAGACCGCACATGGCTTCCTGGGCGCCCCATCCTCAGAGAAAGGGAAAAGAACAGCTAGCTGAAGGGTTGTTTGAGCAACAGGCCTGGAACTTGTTTTACATGTTTTTCATTAATTTCTTAATTGCCTTAATGGACACTTGTTACTGTAAAATAAAGGGAAGTCGTTTTTCCTTATTGGCTTACAATGAGACAGTTTTGATTGAGCAATTCAGAGACTTTCCAAATCCATTACTCTTGGGGTAGGGTTTCTTTTCAAGCATGGGTCTGGAATGGTGTGTTCACTAAGTCAGAGCACAAAGACGGAAACCCATGTTTTCAAAAGTATGTGTCACAAGACCTATTAGAAAGAAGACCACAGCCTCATCAGAGCCATGGAAAAAGTCATGTGGGAAAGAGGGAGGGGACACGAACTGTACTTAGCAAAGGAAATTGCTTCTGACACCCAAAAGGACAGGCTCAAGGTGACAGAGAGAACCCTGGAGGGTCCAGAGGTGGGCCAGGCTCTCTCGGGTCTCTGATCCCAGAAGTGAAGAGGGACCTCGCCCTGGGTGGCCTGCCACCGGGTGTGGCTTGTGTAGCCACACACATAATAGCTTCCTTGGACTTTGGGATTTCACCATAAAGGAAGAGGAGGGCAGTGTCTCCTAAGACAGGACCTGGGTACCTCTGCTGCGGCCAGTGTACCCAGAGGAGGACAAGACCAGCTGGAGCCTTGAAGAAGCCCTAGGTCTGATGGCATCAGGCCTGCAAACCTAGACCCTGCCAGGGTTCGAGAAGTCCACCTGGTTGCCCTGCCTACCATCCTTGTGGTTCGCTCCACCCATTCCGCCCGCGCAGCCCCGCCCCGCCCCGCCCCGCCTCGCTCCAGGGGGCAGAGGCGCCCACCTAGTGGTAATAAATAGCCTAGGTTCTCATTGCCTGCCACCAGTTTTTTTGTTTTGTTTTGTTTTTTGTTTTGTTTTATTTTATCAGAGATTGCCTTTGCAACCTTTTGTTTCTTCCTCCAAACGCTCCAACCGGATGCATAGTTCATGCCATGGCTGAATCACCGCCTGAACAGTCGGAGTTGTCACCTGAAAACCCTGAGCGCCTGTGGCTCTGGGAGAGGAACGTGTACTTGGACGAGCGTAGACGGAGCTGGCTGCCCGCAGTCGTCAAGGTACCAACACCATGGGGCCAGCATGTGGGGCAGGAGGGGTGTGCCCTGCCTGGGCCTGGGAGTCCTTGGTAGCTGGAGACCAGGGGACAGAGGGTCCCTTGTTCCAGAAACAGGAGGGCTAGGGAGGCTGCAGATGAAAATACTTCGGGTTGGGCCTGGCAGGCCTGGAGGAGGGTGGGCAAGGCCCTGTCACATCTGGCCTGGGGTGTGTTACCTTCGTTTGGGGTGAAACAGGGTTTTCCTAAGCCATAAAATTGGAATATCTTGAAGGTAGCTAGTAGTATCCACATGGGTGATAGGATTTAACTTTGTTTCGTTTATGGAAGCCTCCGGATGGGTCTTAATGAATGTTGGCATTTTTCAAAAGAACTCCCTTCTAGAAGTACTTGCCGGCAGAAGTTATTGAAGTGCGTTCCACTTGTAAAACCAATGAAGGCTATAAAAGCAAAATTAAAACATCGTGTGATACGCTAGCGAGCAGTTAGGAACTACGGACTGTCTCCACTCCAGAAAGTTGGGGCTTATGAACCTCACAGATTTGGGGTGCCGCTAGCAGATGATGCAGCCGCAATTCCGGGCTCTTAAATTTGCCGCTGTTTTACAATATTAAGTTTACATATCTAGGTTTTTCTTAAGCAAAGTATTTTAAGTCAGATATGTGAAATATTTCTTTTTATTACTAAGTTGTACAAGTTTCTTGTAACAAATTATTTTTTCTTTTTCTTTAATTTTTATTTTTTATTTTTTGAGACAGGGTTTCTCTGTATAGCTCTGGCTGTCCTGGAACTCACTCTGTAGACCAGTCTGGCCTCAAACTCAAAGAGATCCACCTGCCTCTGCTTCCTGGGTGCTGTGATTAAAGGCGTGCGCCACCACTGCCCAGATTTTATATATATATATATATCAGGTTAACAACTATCTTTTAACCCAAACCATGAACCAGAGAACATTTCAGAGTTGTGGTAGATGTTGTCTGAGCAGGTGCCTGGTAACAAACTGCAACACAGGATTTACTTTTCATGACTGAAAGAACTTCACAGATTTGGGGTGCCGCTAGCAGATGATGCAGCCGCAATTCTGGGCTCTTAAATTTGCCGCTGTTTTACAATATTAAGTTTACATATCTAGGTTTTTTTTTAAGCAAAGTATTTTAAGTCAGATATGTGAAATATTTTTATTACTAAGTTGTACAAGTGATATATATGTGATATATGTGATCACATATATATATATATATATATGCATTCACTTGTAGTAATAAGGGAAGAGAATAAAGCCATCTGTAACAGTGGTGAGTTCTGAATACTAGAGTGCTTACACACTAATTACTAGTTACCAGTTCTAATTACCAGCTATCTCATTGGCAGAACATTTCACACAACTATTTTCACCTTGGAGAAACCCTCGTTAAGCAAGTGCGAGTGCTTATGGTCTACACCAAGCCCAGGTCTGCACTGAGGGTTTGCAGCGAATGTGGTGGAATGCAGTGAGTGGGAAGGCGCTGCAATGGGAGTTGGGGGGCCGGACATAGGCATGAGGCTGGTGGAGAGTCCTGTGGGAGAAAGAAACTGCCCAGGGGAAGGGAGGCCGGGAGTGAGTTGTTCTGTACTGAGTTGTGAACTCGCTTTGTATTTGCATGACGTAATTTTGAGTCCTTTTGTTTGGAGTTTCAAATTGCTTTTTTCCCCTCTCCTCCTCCTCCTCCTCCTCCTCCTCGCCTGCCCCACCTGAGTAGGTGCTGAAGAACAAACCCAGGGCCCTCTGTGGATTAGGAGAATGGTACTGCAGAGCTCTGGCCCAGCCATTTTTACAATGCTTATCAGTTTCACAACTTGGTCTTAGTTGCTCAGGTTGACCTTGAATTCCCTTTGTAGCCCAGGTAGGCCTTGTGATCCTCCTGCCTCCGCCTACGGAGGAGTGCATTGCAGGCCTGTGCCATTTGGCCCCACCAGGTCTTAACGGGAGTATCTTATAAAATTGGATGGTACAGGGTTTGGAGGGGTTTGTTTGTATTTTAGGTGGGGAAGTTTTTTGACTTTGGTTTTTCATCCCAAATTGGTGGATACAGCTCATTTTCAGGAGCTGGTGAGATGGCCGGGGAGGTAAAGGTGCTGATGATCTGGTGTGATTCCCAGGACCCACATGATGGGAGAGAACTGATTCCTGCAAGCTGTGGCACGTTCACACCTGTGTGGTACATGCCTTTCATTTCAGCACTTGAGAGGCAGAGGCAGGTGGATCTCTGTTTTGACCTATGTTGGAGGCCAGCCTGGTCTACAGAGTGAGTTCCAGGCCAGCCAGGGTGATACGGTGAGACCTTGCTTCAAAACCACAAATTTTAACTCATTTCAGTTAATAAAACTGGGGGTTTGGTCTCTAATCTAACATTGGTTTGGGTAATATTTGTTCTTTATAGACAGACATTTGAACAAAGGACTGCCTCAAAGGAAATTACCTTTTTTGTAGATTTGGGGAGGCTTGCTAGAGACAGGGAGAACCCCACACACAAACAAGGCATTGACGCTAGAAGGAAGTAGACAGTGGTGACGAGCACAGTGGGAGACAAGGGAGACAGAGACACTCTTGTGTATATTTTGTGGAGTTCTGTGGGTCCTGGACTCACTCTGCCCTTGAGGAGAAGGCATCAGGAATCCAGCAGGCAGGCATGCCTTTCAGATCCCCACCTGGTGTCTAAAGACAGTAAGTGAAGTAGTTGCCACAGCCCAGGAGAGCCATGGCAGTGATGGAGAAGTGTTGCCTATTACTAGATTCACGGTGTTAGAAATGTGTGTGTGTGTGTGTGTGTGTGTGTGTGTGTGTGTGTGTGTGTGT